AAAAAAAAAAAAAAAAAAAAAAAGTCAACGAATATAGTAAGTTGCAACGTCCCCATAGGAACGGCGTCCGCATGGGATCCGACCTTTGATTGACCTGCCACGATTGACTTTTCCCCAATCAAAATACGACGCGTGGTATGCACACGTTGCAGTGTCGGTGGTGGTTGCCAATTGGCCAGAACGTGAGGCGTAGATGTGGCGTCCTCGTGTCCATTGGGCCCCACTCACTGATCTTTTTATTTTTATTTAATGGAAAAAAAATCTTATAAATACTTTACTTTTAATTTTATATTTAAATCCATACATTTTAAAACGTGAGATTTTCTCCAATCGAATGAATATAGGTTTAGTTTAAATTTAGTAAAATTTCAAAAAATAAATTTATGGAAGTTTGGGAAATTACTAAGTTGCCCCTAACTTGGAGACAAAAAGAGAGACCGGTAAATATCCTATTTTATCTATAAAACTATTTGATAATTATAATATTTCATTAAAAAATGCTAAAATACCCTTAAATTTTAAGGTTAATACCTTATTTAAATCAATAAATCACATCTTAAATATTTGTTTACCTTCTAATTTTGTGCATTAAATGGATCAAACACATGGGTTTTTAAAGTTTTTTTAAATTTTTAATTTTTAAATAGAACAACACTTCAAAATTAAAACAAAATTAAAACAATAGTGGCAAAAATAGGAAGTATTAAATTTTGTGGTCTTTCCTAAAATCTTACCACATATAAATATATACTTCAAATCACAATTAATTAATATATAGAAATAATTTAGACAAAAACTTGTTAGATAAGTAAACAGAAGGTATAAAAACCTAACCATTAGCCCCCGCCAAAATTAATACTAAATAGGTAGTGCTATAGACTTATTTATCTCTCAAAAGATAAAAAATACTGTCTTGAGAGTCCCGACAAGGTAAGGTAAGAGTTGATTACTCAAACGGGAAAAGATACCCTAAGCAAGCCCTTTGGTTGGAACGACAGGTTAGAGATCACCACCTGTGACGCATCTAGTCCATGTACGGTGTCTTATATTAGTACAAGTACGAGAGTCCACTCTCCAAATAAGGTATACAATCCAATCTAATCGTGCTTAGTTTGACACGAGTTTGGTAACTTCATTAGAAAGCGTTGGAGAAAGCTCGAGTTTTGTGATTGAAAAGGGGAAGATGGGAAAGGGATTAAGATGGAAATTGATAAGGGAATGGGTAACAAGGAGATGGAAAGGGAAGCACACGTGTAGTGTTGAAGGAAGAAGAAGAAGAGGAAGAAGGGGGTTTCCTTTGCTTTCAAGACACGCACAGAACACACAACATGAACACAAAAACAAAAACAAAAACAAAAACAGAGTATTTAGTATAACGTAGTTTTCAGACAGACAGACAGACACTCAGTTCCTCCATACATACGTAAGTCAGAAGGCCACCCCTCCCTGCCCTCTCAATCTTCTCTTTCATTTCCCCTGTTTTCCTTTATAAACCCACTTCCAACGCAAGCTTTGGCGGCTTTTCCCCCCTTTCATATATCAGACTAGACCAATACCCAACTTAGCTGCCCACTGCCTTTTATTTTTTCCCTTCTCTCTGTTTCTCACACACAAAATACAGAGGGAGGGAGATGGAGTACTTCTGGGTTTGAACCCCTTTTTTGTTCCTTTCATTTTCTTCACTTTGGCGACCGAGGAGGCCAAACTTTTACCCAGCTAACCAAGTTCAAGCCTAATTTGGCTTCACCCTGATTCCCTCTGCTCTGACAGATTCTGGGTTTCTCAGATTTCACTCAAAGGAGAAACCTTTTATCTCGAAGTGGCCTCAGATTAGAATCGCCATGAAATTTTGTTCACTGGGGACTCCCGATTTTGTTCCTCAATCGCTGTTTTCATTGCGTGGCTTCTGCAATTGCTTCGATAATACTCTATAATGCTGCCGTTCGTCGTTTCTTCTACAATACCCTCTTAACTTCTATTGGGTCTCTTTCATTTTCCTTCACAGATCGCCGGGAATATTTTCTACGCCGCCGAGATCTGCCGCTTTCTGATTGGTCCTTCAGTCAAAGATGATGAAATTGAAGACTAAAACGACTGGCCTATCACAGATGAAGGGTAGTTCCGCCGTCGGTGACGACCGGCCGATGGATTGGGAATTAAGGCCAGGAGGAATGTTTGTTCAGAAGAGAACCCCTGATTCCGACGGGGAATCGACTCCAACGCCGACGATCAGAGTTAAAGTCAAATACGGTTCTACTTACCACGAAATTAGTATCAGTTCTCAAGGCACATTTGGTAAACACCCTTCTTCTGTATCCAAATTTTTGAGAATCCCAAATGAAGCTGATTCAACGTGTAATTGAAGACTGATTGTTTGTTGGTTTGGGATGCAGGGGAACTGAAGAAGATGTTGGTAGGACCTACAGGATTGCACCATCAAGATCAGAAGCTGTTGTTCAAAAAGAAGGAGAGAGATTCAAAGGCCTTTCTGGACAGTTGTGGGGTAAGAAACAAATCCAAGATTGTTCTAATGGAAGACCCAATTAGCCAAGAAAGAAGGTACGTTGAGATGAGGAAGAATGCCAAAATGGAGAAAGCTTCCAAATCCATATCAGAAATTAGCTTGGAAGTTGATAAACTTGCAGGACAGGTAATTAACTTCTTTCTCTTTTCTTTTGTTTGGGGAATGATGATATAATGGAATGGCAACGCACATAGGTTTCTGCTTTGGAATCTGTGGTCTGTAAAGGTGGGAAGGTTGCTGAGAATGATGTGCTGAATTTGATTGATTTGTTGATGAATGAATTGCTCAAATTGGATGCTATTATGGGCGATGGAGATGTCAAGTTGCAGAGGAAAATGCAGGTTCTGTTATGTTCTTCATATCTGTTCTTCCATGAAAAAGACTTCATAGTTTTGAACCAGTTTTTTGAATCATTTGTAGGTAAAAAGAGTGCAAAAGTATGTTGAAACTCTTGATTTGTTGAAGATTAAGAACTCCATGGCTACAATTCAAACACAAACTCACAACACCAACAATTCCAATCATCAAAGACAAACAAGTAGGCCTTCCTTTGCAAACACCAAACTATCAACAATTCAAGAGGAGCAGCATTCCACGAAGCCAACGACAGCATCCAGCACTGTGGTCACAACAAAATGGGAGATATTTGATGCTTCCCCGTCGATCGCGCCCACCGAGCATGCCATCCTGCCGAGGTTCAACTGGGAATTCTTCGAGTGAGAGCCATAGGCATACATTTTGTGAGGATTTGTGATTTGAATTCAGATTTAGCTGGTTTGGCCCCTTATCATATCAGTGTGAGCCCTCCATTCTTTACTGTATTTAGATGAAAATTTAGAGAGACACCCACCTCCCCCTTCTCAGGAAATAAATGGGGTTATTACTACAGTAGCGATCATCAATTTTCTGTTGTGGCATTACAATAAACCTCTGCTTTGTCTTTCTCTTAATCCAACCATATCCTGAAGAACAAAGTTGATATCTTTCTGTCTCTAAAAGTAGTAGTTGATGAAGATGATTTTGATAATCAATCAACACAGCTAACCCAGGCAAGGATAGAAAGCCAAGTGTGATCTAAGTACACCACCAAATCTATGATTACTACTTTGGAATAGGAAATTTCGTCCCTTTGAAGCCTTTCCAAATTCAGAAGTCTTAAGCTTTTTTGTTTATTCAGCTGTGAAGCAATGATGGGAAGGCGTTTTAGAGTGCAGACTATTCCATTGCCTTTCTATGAAGCAAAGAACCACAAAGAGGTAAATATATCAATCAATCAATCAATCAATCAATCAATAGCTTTAAAGAATGAAAAATGGTTTATCAGTTCATAATACTCACTTTTCGTCTCTACCCTTTAACTAAAGATCATGATTACAAAATCCCATCTGGGTGTTTTGTATATCTTATAACAAAAGTAGAATGTTTACTTTATATGTGTCCAAATCTCAGGAATGCTTCGTATTTTAATGTGTTAATCACACTGTTCATGTGCAAACTATATGTTAATTTAATCCAACTTTGTAAAGTAGAGGGAGGCATGGGTTGTGATGAAAGGAATTAAAAGGGAGATGATGGAAGGTCAAGTATGGGTTGGGCTAGAGTGAAGGCTCACCCTAACCTATCATCAAAGGGAATGGGCCAATACTTGGATTTGAATGTTCCTAAGCCCAAACTTGAAGTTGCACAAATGGGTATGAGTTTGAATTGGAAAGGGAAAGAAAAAGGCAACCAAAAAGGAATTGGGCAAGTTGTTTCCCTTTTTGAAGATGTTGCTTAGAAAGTCAAATAAAGTGGAGAAGTGATGGGTTAGCACAACACTTGAAAAGCTAAACACATTGCCCACAACAAATCAAATTGGCCCATTTGGAACTCCCACTTGAGGTTTGATTTTGAAGTTTCAGACAAAAGAAGGAATTTTTTTTTTTTTTTTTTTGATAAGAGCGGAATCACAAGACAGTCGTAACAGCTCAAGTCCATCACTAGCCTATAGCATATAGTCTTTTTTAGACTTTCCTTTTCAGACTTTCCCTCGAGGTTTTTACAATGCATATGTTAGGGAGTCGTCTCCGCACCCTTACAAATAATGCTTCGTTCTCCTTCCTAACTGATGTGGGATCTCACAATCTACCACCTTCTAGTATTCACTAGCACTCGTTCCTTTCTCCAATCGATGTAGGACCCCCAATCTACTCTCCTTTGGAACCCAGTGTCCTTGCTGGCACACGGCCTCATGTCCACCTCCTTCGAGGCTCAGCCTCCTCGCTGACATATTGTCCGATATATGACTCTGATACCATTTATAATAGCTCAAGCCCACCGCTAGTATATATTGTCTTCTTTGAGCTTTCCATCTCAGACTTCCTCTCAAAGTTTTTAAAATGCATTTGCTAAGGAGAAGTTTTCACACCCTTATAAAGAATGTTTTGTTCTCCTCTCTAAACGAGGTGTGATCTCACATTGGATGGTATGCCTATAAATCACTCCTTAACCCTTTTTCATACAAGACATAGGGAATTGAGAAGCAAATTATTAGGCAATGGGTGCTCAAGTTTGTCTGAAAAACACAACAAAATTGAATTTGGTTTAAAAGAGACAACTTTATGTGAAGCTTTGAATTTTAGAGACAAAACCAGTAGTCTTTGGGTAAGGTGGTGTGGATAATGATGGCAAATCTCCAATCCAATGCTTCCTTACACATATATATGATGCATCTCAGATCAAAACAATTTCATAAAATATGGAAGGAGATAATATTGATTTATTATGACTCCAAAGATAATGCTATTAAATTAGTGTTCTTCGTGTTCATGCCTTTATATTTAGCCTTAAGAAACCCCCCTTTTGTCTCCCTATTACAACCTCATTTTCTTCACCTCTGTTTGTTTGGTCTATAAAAATACATAAACAACCTGTTTTTGTTCATCCATATGTTGTCATCTTCCAACATTCAAGATAAAACTATAAACAACAACGTTTCAAACTTCATCTACACCCATCTTCTTCCTTTCCACCCTCTTACTTGAATATCAAATATGTCTAGATTCCACCTCGGTTGAAGAGAAAAATGAAGCATCCCTTATAAGTATAGGAAACTCTAATTCCGACCAAAATGGACAATAACTACTAACGGTGAGCTTAGATTCCATCAAATAACAAGCCGAAATATGAAAAGTTTAATTATCAAAACCTAAAAGTAAATCCGTGATGCAACTAGATCTTTATATTTGATATAGGCCTAACTAATTAGGTACTATCATTTTTTTAAATTATTCTTCATAGGGCATTAACTAAATTCCTCTGTCACAGTGACAAGGATGGGTATCGTATTCTTTATAAATAGGCTTTTTAATTAAAATAATTACACATATAGTTTTCTTTTTTAAAAAAACAAAGAAATAATTATTTAAACTAAAAATAATAATATCGTAATTCTATCGAATTATTTAAGAGGATTTTTATTAATATAAAAAATTAAATTAACTTAAGGTTAAAAAATGGAACGTTTTAAGAGAAGAAATAATATTATATGTTAGTCTATTGCGTATATATTCATATACAGATCGTTATGATTATGATTACGATTACGATTAAATTAACACAAATTATATTTAGGCAAGTTGACAATAAAAATAAATACTTTTAAAAATTAAGATTATTAAAATAGGGATGAGTTTGAATTCAGAAAAAGGAAAGTTGGAATTTAAATAAATAAATTTTTTTAAAAGTAATGTTTATTATTATTATTTTTTTGGAGAGGGGGAGGGGCCATCCCGCGATCTTGCCGTGACTTTTGCCAGCCGCTGCGCGCGTCGTAATCAACAAGTTCAGCGCGTGATATTCGAACATTCTACACGTGAAAGTGGGCGAGTGGGTGGTTATAGTTGTTTTGCATTTCCTTTACTTGGGAAAGATCTAACCCTCCCTATCCACCTCTACAAACCCCACACGTCATCTTACACGCGTGGATCTCACTTGCTGACGTCCAACTGCCTTTCTTTTACTCCAACTATACAATTATTTTCTATTACCCTCGTATAAAAATAAACAAGTCTTTATCTATGTAAAAAGATTACCTTTGAAGTCGACTCCTAAATGATTCTTGAGAGAGTTGAAGAAGCGTTTACAGGTAAAGCATCATACCCATATAACAAATTATCACATACGCTCCACCGTCTATTCAAATTTTAGAAGCATAAGTAATAGTATCCCGATCCGGCAATAAGAATAATAAGAATAATGTAAGCACAAGGGGTGGGGTGGCCATATGAGGATCAAAAGGTGACGGCCAATTCTGCATGCATGTAATCTCTTTGCCCACTTTATATACATAGAAGAAGTAATTTAATAAAATGAAGCTTAAAGATAAGCTTCAATGGAGGAATCCCACTAGCTTTATATTACATAATTAATTATGCATAAATATAACACTTACTTTTAACTTCCTTTATAAAGTAATTAATTAATTAAACAATCAATTTTTTAAAGAATCAATTATTGTTTCCCATCCCCTAAATAGTATTTACTAAAATTCGACTAATATTTATTTTCCCATTCTTAAGCCGTTGGAATCAAAGAGGGAGAAACGAATATTGTAGAGCTTAAATGTGAGCCCTTCAATGTGTTTAGTGTCACCTCATGTTTCTTTTTTCTTTTTTTTAAATGAAATGTTTGCATTCATATTCATTTATTTTATTTAAAAGAATTTATACGCTTCATCGTAACGTTTAAGAATCGATGATGTGATATTGATGTGACTTAAGTCAACTTAAAATTACTTATAATTATGTATGGTTCAACGTTTTTCCACTCTAAATTTCTATCCTTTTCAACAACGAGGAAGAGGGGAAAGAAATGTTTGTTTAAGACAATGGAGAGAACTTGTTCGTGATGATTCTATTTCTTTTCTCTTTTAAATGTCAAAATCATCGTAAAAAAAATTACTAGCACCTGTATATATTGCTGCGTGAATATTCTCCATAATTGAAAAAATATATAAATTTAAAAAGAGACGTTAAGAATCTAAGAATCTAAATTCTTAAAATATGATTAAATGTGTTATTTAAACATAGGAAAAAAAGGCATGGGTTGACTAAATTGGAAGCTTATAGCAGAAGTTGATATAATATGCTAAGTTGCACTAATTAAATTAAGCTTTTGGGATTAAAACTTGGCATATATGCATTTGCATTTGTTCCCTTTGGTTACTACTCAAGCTCAAATTAAGTAAATTCTTATTTGAATTGAATAATTAATGTAATCAAAATTAACCTAAAGTATATATTCATTGGAACGTATCTTAAATAAATGGACTTATTATAGTACCTGCCGGCAGCCTAAAGGCAGCTTAGAACAAGAAACTTGGATGTTTGGAGACAAACATGAGGATAAAAACTAAACAAAATTGGTCAAACATTACATACATATGTTCAAACAAAATGATAGGATCAAAATTACCTATGTTTGGATTTATTAAATTTACCTATTATTTAATCTAAAACTTGGAAAAACATTATGTCGCATGCATGGTAGCAATATATATATATATATTTGATATGATATGGATATTATATGTTATAGAATCAGGCATGCATGGTATGTGGTTCATGTTATAGTATGCGATGTAGTTTAACTAAAAAATTAATATTTCTTTTTAATAAAAAAGGAAAAATAAATACAACAGATAATTAGATTTTGTCATCAGCTTCATCATCTATGTCACAAATTTAATTTTGATAATCTGTGATATTAGCACCGATCTTGCTTGTTTTTAGGTTCAACTGACTCAGCTTCCACCGCTTCATCGCCACCACCACCGGTTAGCTTCCTAGCTCTAATTGCCTCTAGCTCCCAATCTGTGAATCCCAAAACCACCAGCATCACCGCCGCACAGCACCCCTGCGCCGCCAGGAGCCCCAGCCATAGCCCCCTGAAATCAAACCCACCGTAAAATGCCAGCCCTACTGCTACCGGCATCCCCACCAAATAAAAACACCCTAAATTTATATTCGCTCCTATTTTGGGCCTCGCCGTCCCTCTCAAAACGCCGCACCCTGTCGTCTGTGGGCAGTTCCCGAGCTCGCAGAGGCCTATTATGGGCAGCACCATGGACGTCAATGCTATGATCTCTTTATCCTCTGTGAACATACTCGCCCATATTTTCCTTATGGACACTGCGAAAAACAGAGCCATAATCCCCAGTACGAAGCTGCAAGATAGCCCGACAATGGCTGCTAATTTGGCCTTCTTTGGCTGCTCTGCCCCCAACTCGTTCCCCACCCTGGTGGACACGCTGAAGCTCAGCGACGAAGGGAATATGTAAATCAATGCTGTGGTCTGAATCAAAATGCCCATGGAAGCCACGGTGGCTTTGGGGTTTAGCAATAGGCCACAGAGGAGGATCATGATTTCGTACCACCACCACTCGAGGCAGACCGAGACGCAGCTTGGGATTGCCAAATTGAGAAGGTTTCCCCATTCTTTGAAGCATTCGAGAGAGAAGCCTCCCCATGTTTCCTTGTGGACGTTGAAAATTAGTATGTAAAGGATCAAAGAAGCGACGAGGTTGAAATTGGTCCAAACCCCTGCTATAGCAACTCCTCTAATACCAAAATTGAGATAGGAAACGAGAAAGTAATTGATGGGTATGTGGAGAAGGATAGAAAAAGTGGCGCAGAAAGTGAGGGGGAGCGTTATGGATTGAGTTCGGAGGTAAATTCGAAGAGGGTGGATGAGGGACTGAGCGAAAAGGTCAGGAACAGAGTAGAGAAGGAACAATTGGGCTTGGGAGGCAATGGAGGCGTCCTGTTTGCAAAGGAGAAGGATGTTCTTGACGTTGAACCAAAGAAGTGAAATGGGGATTGAAGCAAAGGTGAGGAGAAGAATGGTCCTCTGCAAGGCGAGGCCGAGAAGGTTGAACCTTTTGGCACCGAAGGCTTGGCCGCAGATGGGCTCCATACCCATGGCGAGACCAGAGAGAATGGAGTAGCCTGTGATGTTAGCGAAGCCGATGGCGAGGGAACCGCCAGCGAGGGGGAGCTCCCCGAGACGGCCGAGGAAGAGCATGGAGATGAGGGAGCGGGAGTAGAGGAGAAGGCTGGTGAGGACCATGGGGAAGGCAATTTGGAAAATGGAAAAGGCCTCTTTAATGGCCAAGGAGAAATGGGTATTGGTATTGGTATTGTTAGTTGGTTTGTGTCTGTTTTGTTGCGGGATCAGTGGGTCTGTGAGATGATGCATGCTATTGGTATTGTTATTGGTATTGGTAGGCTTCTCAAGGTCGTCATTAATTGAGTCAAGGTAAGCAACTTCAGAACCACCCATAATTTCCTGTGTGCCCTCACAAACAATCGTGTTAGATACACAGACAAAGGAGGTAAGAGTTGATAGAAAGAGAAAGAAATAGAGAAGGAGAGACAGAGAAGATGAGTAGACATCACTCCCTTTTTATAGCTTCCCAATACAAGCCAACGCGCAAACTCTCTCTCTCTCCCACACACGTTGTTCAATAAAATAAAAAGTTCTCGTGAGCTTTTCTAGGATTTTGGTTAAATGGCAACTTAATCTTCAATCCTTCTACTTTAAAGACTCTTTTGGTACTTCTTTAACAAATCCCTAAACCATGGGTCTTTAAGAATTGATATTTAAGGACTGCCAAATCGACGTGTTTGGACTGGAATTGGATGAACAGAGGCAGGGCAGGGGAGGGCAGGGGAGGGCAGGGCAGGGGATTCAAAGCCCAGAAAGGGCCCATGTGGACTATGCGCGTCTTTGGATTCACCTACTATTGTATACTATCTCCATCTTGTAATTTACGAGTTCATATGATAAGACAGCAGAGTCCAAACCCTGAAAGCTTGTCATCTTCCACAGCTGGGATTCGTACGCTTCTTGTGTTCAACTATAATACTTGTTTGTCTTATGGATCAGTTCAAACGCCTGTTCTGTCCGCTAACCTCTTAGGAGCCTCGTCGCCTAGCATATGCCAAATGTCTCCTCCAAATATTCAATCACAGTTTTTGGCAGTTAACATATTCAAGGTGTCAAGTTTTGTATTCTTCTTCTTCTTCCTCCTCCTCGCACAAAAGCCTCAAGACCTAACCTTACATTGCCCTTTTTGTGCTTATGCCAGTAGTGACGACGGAGGGTCCAATTATTTGAGTAGAAGAAGAAAGGGAAAGGCTTTCGATATGGGTATAAAGGGTTAAGAAATGGGGGAAGAAGAGGTCAAAGTAGTTGAAGAAGCTTTGTGGGTTTGAAGTCCAAGATTTGGTCGTAAAGAGTGAACACAAGGAATAGGAAGTGGAGTGGAGGCGTGGGGTCAAAAAGAGAGCATACATAAGAGGAAGGTCTAATGAAGTGACGCTTGGTTGATGGTGTTCAATTAGCTCCCACTTTGAAACGCAAAGACAGAGACAAAAACACAGTGGGGTTTGGTCATAAAAAACGTGTAGAGAACAAAAAGTCTAATTAATCATACATCAATGAATATCACTGTTCCTTATTGCTTAAACATTGCATTCATATAATGCTTTCTTTGACTGCTTCCTTCACATCAAATGATGAATTACGTTCCCATTTTGACCATTTTAGAGAGGACTATCCTCTTTAACAAGCTGATACAAGCAAGTGAAATGAACCAACTTTCTTCTCTGTACTTGTGTTTTATAGCTACCCCATTCAATATATAACCATTTTGGTGGCCTTTCGGTGGATCCTATATTGGAAGTGCTTGGTGACCGTAAATGGGCAATGGAAAAACCCCCTCTTTTATGAGTCTATGCGTGTTTTTTGAACAAAAAAAAAACCCAAACAAGTAATGACCAAAAATTAAGTGAGAATGATGTATAGGGGAAGGAAAAATCATTGTGGCCCTGTACATATGAGTGTTCATTGGGTTGGGAACACAAATATCCATGATGAAGATCGTAGCAAATATTGCCTGTTTTAGCATGGTACGTATCACTATCCCTTAAAGAGAGGTTTTCATACTTTCATACAAAAAGAAGAACTTGTGAGATCTCACAATCCACATGTTCTCGTTGGATGTGGAAATTGGAGGTTGGTGAGAGTAAGATTTGGATATTATAGAAACCAACCGCCCCAACTACAATAACTAAAGATTGAGTTGTGGTTGTACCCATTTGGGCAAAGCACAGAGAGACAAGTGTCAAAGACGAAGAATATTCAAATCCAATCTTTAATTCATACGAGGAAAGTGGTAGAAATATACGATACAAAAAGGAAAAGGAAAAGGAAAAGGAAAAAGCATTGGGATAAGTGCAGATAAAAAGTGGACAAATGTCGAGCCACAGGAAGTTGGGCTGCGTTAAAAGCTCTTGAGTCGTAAAGAGGGGTTTGAACCAATCCCCTCTCCTCCTTTATGGCGTTATAGCTTTTGATACACATCTTCTCCATCTTCCAACCAACAAAACAAGAATGTTCCTCTCCTAATTCTTTTCTTTGACTTTTGTGTGTCCTTTTTTCATTTGTGTCTTTGTCTGCGCCACTTTTAAAGGCTGTGTTCCCATTTTGGTTGGTACGCAGGGCTGAGGAATTAGGAGTACACAACACATGTCGAAATGGTATTCAATATCAATCTCTCTTTCTATGTTTCTTTTTGATGTGTCCCAATATATGCAGTTATCTCTTACTATGTCTCTATCTTACACCACCTTCCCACGCTAATTGCCGACTAAATTCTTCAAATTAACATATCTTCATCCATCGTTTAACACTTCCTATAACAAAGTCATTCATCATCAACCCATTATAACGTATCTGCTGTAGAGAGGTTTCCACGCTTTTAAATGAGAAAATGAAGAAAGAGGAGCGAAGATTTAAAAAATTGGAAGCCATGTTATCATTTTCATTCTAAAAAAAAGATTAAAAGAAAGAAAGAAATGTTTACAACGTGCTATGAATTAAACCAATGGGCTGGAGTGGAAAGCCCAATCTGAGAGAACCCAATAGTATTTGGGCCTTGAATGGGCTGAGCTGCAAAATCGTGTGGTTGGGCTTCTTGGAGGTTGGAAGCGAGAAATGCAATCTCGGCCCGAGTTTTGGCCAACTGGGTTTCTGCCACGTGTAATTGATGTTGTAATTGAGAAATAATTCCAACACATCCATAAACTGGATCTTCAATTCTGCATTTTGCCTCAAAAAACAAAGATTCTGCTGCTTCGGGTCGTAGATGCAGAGGGAGTTGCTGATTATCAAATAAAATGATTTCAAATTAAATTAAATTAAATTAAATTAAATAAAATACCAGAAACTCATAATAGTTCATAAAAAAAGAAGAAGAAATTACATGGAGGAATTTGGCGACATTGCTGGCACCATAGATTCGATGAACAATGGCGAATCTTTGAGGATTATTGGAAGGAAAGAAAGGGGAAAAAATGCAATCAGAAGCACATCTTCTTCTCAAATACTTACAAGCTGCACAACGACCAGAGATCATGCTAGAATCTTTGGATCAACAAATTTTGGAACAAAATAGGAGAACCAAGATTTTGATGCAGATTCTCTACATCTTTTCCCTCTATATATATACATTTTATGGAGTGTTCTTTGACTCACTTCAAGCTAACGGCTATTTTTTTCAATTTAAAACTCCCAATCATTAGATTTTGGAAGGAAATGTTTGTGTGTGTATATGGTAAGAAGTCAATTCAATATTTTTTTTCCTAAATTATCTCTATTGTGGAAGGAAACTTCAACATCATCCAATACCATTCATTTACATTCGTACTCTATTCACTCGTACAAATCACGTGCTCTAAAATGAATTTTATCTGCTAACGGTTAGATTGAGAGTAGCTCTTCCTCTATTATGAAAATGAAGCATCACCCAAAAAGGTTCGTAACATATCGTCGTCCCAACCCTGCAAATCACAACACCTTATGTCAAATAATTTAAATTTGTGACAAATCAAGAGTTTCCTATTATAGAATAAGATTTAGGGAAGCTTGCAAGAGGAATGAGTATGCATTGCCTGGGCAGAGAGGGTTGAGGGTTGAAGATCTTGCTTTGATGAAGCCTCCATTTCAATTCCATTCCACATATGAGAGAGCTCCATATCAACCATTTCTTCCCTCTAAACAACATATAATGTTAATCCTTATATAACCCTTTTGTAAAAATGTTAGAATAAGTATGAACTACTAAACGTACCCTTAAAGAAGTTTGATTGTGGTGGTTGTGCCCCATGAAGATCTCACTAAGAACATCAAAGCAATTTTGGTGTTCACCAATTTGATCTCCAAATGCAATGGTGTCATTACCTTCTTTTGATGACACTAACACAACACCATTCTCCTCCACATTTTTGTTTTGTAAAACTTGGTTTGTACCTTCAAAATTCCCACAAAATCCCCCATTGTTATGATCATGAGTAGCTTGGACATGATTGGATACCCCATTATTATTCAACCTCAACCCTCCATTAGGGTTTTCATTTTCGATTGACACGAAATTCTGATCGGTTCGAGTGGAACTCGAGACGAGCCCATTGAAAGGGAAGTTAGGTTTATTGAGGGTCAAAAGACTTTGATTCTCAAGATGGGTCAAAGAGTTTTCAATTTCAAGATTAGGGTTTGGATGTGAGATATAATTGGCTCCCAAAAGAGGAGATGGGTAGTTTAAGGGAGCCATTAATTGTTGTTCTTCAAGCAAATATGGATGTTGGGATTGGAATTTTGGTGTATACAATGGGGATTGAAATTGAAAGTGAGAAGAAGCAAAACTTGATCTTAGTAACGTGCAATCTGAATATATCTTCATTGAATTACAAGCTCCCTTTTCAGCAACTCGTTTCAAGAAAATTCTGTACTTCTACATCCATAAACAACCCAGCTTAGATTCAATACTAAAACAAAGCATTAATTGTTAATATATAAAGGGCAAACCTGTAAATGGCTGGCAACATTTTCTCTAGTCAACCCAGGCACATTCATGAACTCAAGGATCTTCTTTGGAACTGCCTCTGAAAAGAACAAATTAAGAACATTAATGAGGGAAAGAAATTTGGAGTCAAATTATAAAGGATCATAGACTTACTGTCAAGCCCTATTAGTCTAATGGCTTGTAAGAACCGGTTGTGAAGTGAATTTGTCCAAACCACCTTTGCCTTTCTTTTGGCAATAGAAGTTTGAGGAACCCTAGTTTCCTTTGCCTTCTTCGTCTTGTTCTTGGTTCTTTCCGATTTCGATAATTTGATGATCTCCTTTTTCGATGGTTTGTCGATCGACAATTGTGGTCGGATAAGTGTTCGTGTTTGTTTAGGTGTAATAGCATATTGCCATACTTGTTTGACATCATCTAGGCTTATTGGTTTGACCATGTAAAATGAAACACCCTCCTCTAAACTCTTCAATATGACGCTAGGTTTTTCAT